AAAAAAAAAAAAAAAAAAAAAAAAAAAAAAAAGAAGCTCCAAGTGATTATTACTTATTAGACATTAGTAATTTTACCAAAAAAAATTTAAAATTTTATTTTTTAAACGTATTCAACTCATAAATTCACTTTGGAAAAGAAACAAAAAAATAAAAAACCCATAAATGGCATGTGAAAGTACAAGTGTTTAAAAACAAATAATCTTGCATGATTCTCATCTCACCTCTGTTTTATACAAATTCAAAAGGGCTTCAGATTCAGTTCAGTCACTCCCAGGGCTGCTCAATCAAAAAAAAAAGGAAAAAACTAATTCAAACCAGATTAAGAACATTACCAGTAAACTAGCTTAAACCCGGTTTGATAATCATCTTGTTTTTTCAAAATCAAGTTTATGAATTCTGGTACATGTTTATGGTATATCAGAATTGAATTGGAAACACAAAAATGAAGCCAGAAAGAAGCAGGAAGCTCATAAATGAACTCTATACTTGATTGATTGATTGAATGGAATATCATGAATTTGTACACCACAAAGGAGAAGATCGAAAGGGAATGGAAGAACCACAACATACCTCCAATTTTTCCCGGAATTTCATCTCACTGGTTTTCAGCAACACTGGCAATGGAAAACAAACGCCCTTCTCCACACAGATTTGATGTCTCGGCTTAATCCTATTCTCTAAGCTAAACGAGAAGTAATGAGGGAACTCCTTCAATTCCTTTAATTCTCTTCCCATTTCCACCACGAAGTAATTCAGTTTCGGCTCCAAATTCTCCTTGATGCTGCAGCAGAACAGCTGCGGGAATCGCCGGAACATTATCACAGCGTCCCGGCGAGAAAACCCTAGGTTCTCGAAGAACTCGATTCTCGGAATCAATTTCTCTTCCACACTACAGGAAAGTAAAGAAGTGTGTTTATGTACCTCAGATATACCGATGCTTTGCAGGAAGTACATAGTCGGACGAAGCCGATTCTTCACGCTACACGCAAGCAACCTAGGGCGTCGATTGATAACGCGTTTGATGTCAGAACCGTCGACTCTAGCCTCACGAAGGAGGAACGTAAACACCGGAACGATGTCCGAAACGCGAGAGGTGAGAATCTCAGGGCACATACCAACGATTCGGCGGAACTCAACGGCGGTGAAATTCATCGACGTCATGAAATCGACTGCGGATCTGATGTCGGCAAGAGAGGCAGTAGCGACGGGAGGATGGTCTTTAATGACAGAAAGGAAATCGATGCCGATGGAGTCGAGGAAGAGCATTTTCTCCTGAAACTCGGAGCGAGAGCCGCTGTGGGACGGCGGCGGAGGGAGCGGCGGCGAGAGAGGGGGAATGTCGGGGGCGCGAGAGGGAAGTTTAGAGGGCAAAATGAAGGCAGTTTTGGCATTGGAAATGATGGGGAATTGGAGGGTTCGGGAGCGGGAAAGAGAGGGGAAAAGAGAGGAAGGAGAAGAGTGGTGGAGGAATCCTCCATTGGAGAGGAGGTGGAGAGCAGTGTCTTGCATGGTGTTCATGGAGAACTACATTAGAGAATGTGAATGGCGCGGTGGTAGGGTTTTTCAGAGAGAAAATCAAGGAAGTGGTGAGGAAGAGAATTGCAGAGGATAAGAGCGCTATCTTCATTCTTCAAAATATCCAAATTCTCAATTACACTGTACCCCTACGCTTTTCCCTCCTCCCAAGCCCATATATGTTGGGCCCAATAATACCCAGGCCCATATATATGGGCCCAATAATATTTAATTAATTTTATTTCTAATAAGATTTTTTTTCTCGTGAATAAATATATTATTTTATGTTATAAATTAAACTCATTTTTATTGAATTAATAAGTGTATAATATAATATTTTATAAATTTCATTATATTATAAAAATAGTAATTATACAATATTTCTAACAATAATTATATTTATAAATAAATAAAACCTAATATCTCTACTTGTTATCTTGAATCGATCTATCGGTCGGGATAGCAGAGTTCAGCTACGACCTCGTTATCATCACCAATGAGGATCAAAAAATATTCTCCAACTACCTCTAAAACCCAAACCGTAAAAAAAGCGACGAAAATTCTGACGAACTAAATTGGTACTAGATTCCAGCGCGACGTTCTCATAGGTCAACATACATATGGGATTTTTAAAATCTTGCTTTAATGTTTCTGGTAGGTTTCGATTCAAAGAAGAATCTCAAAGGGAGGGTGGTTTGTTTGAGGTTTGTGACTAATGATAGTGGTTGCAATCATAAATGAAAATGCTCACCTTAGTATCTTTCATTAATAAACGTATTGTTGTGAACCATGAGCCTCCACAATCGGGATTAACCAATGTGAAACTACTCTCTTTCCAACAACAACGATTCTAAGCACGAATTCAAGACCATTGGCTATTTACTCAACTTACAAAGCTACAACTAGGGACGGGTGACGTGGTGTTAAGTTTGTTAATTTCAAGTAAGAGAGAAACCATTTGCCTATGAGAGTGGGGTTGGGTTGGTTTAGGCACCAAACTCGCCACCATGTACACCAATTTCGTCTGTCTTACTTGGCTATAAATTTTAAAATTTTAAAATATAGCTAATAAATATTAAAATCTCATTCCATAGGTATAAATACTATTGTCACCTATAAAATTTAGAATATTATAATAAATATAAAAAATGAATTTATTTATAATTAAAATTAAATATAATTTTAATTTTTATAAAATAACTATAAATTTTAAAAAATAGATTTGTTTAAATGTTTTCTGATAATTTATTAAACACAAATTTAAAATCAATTTTTATCACATTATTGAGATTAATTATAGCTGCATAATTAAATTTTAAGTTGTTAAAAATTATAAAGGGAAAATTAAAAAAAATATATATATTTTAAGTATAAAATAAAGAAATGAAAAAAAAAATGACACGAGAACGTGGGAAGGTCACGCAAAATGGTGACGGTCAAGAGATATATGCACAGCCATTAATAAACACTATATTTAAATTTCCATTATAAATACAACTTTAACACAAAATTACACAAATTGCCACCCACCACTCAATTTTTGCTCTCTTTACAAATTTCACATAAATATTATTATTATTATTTTCTTTTTTATTCTTATGAAAATTTACAGTTCACAACTCTTTATATTTATAATTAAAATTAAAAGAAAAAAAACTAAATTGGTGCTTAATTTTTTTTAAAATTCCCAATTTTAATTTTAATATATTAAAACTTTGCAATTAAATTCATACTAAAAAAATGTTATCATAAAATTGTTGTTTTATAGTTAATAAAATAACAATTTAATGATTTGTTTTTTAATGAAGAATTTAATTGAAAATTTTAAAATATGAAAAGTATAATTCAGAATTTTGAAAAATCGAAAACCAAAATGAGAATAGACATCAGGAGAGAGAGGAAACTAACGGCGTGAAGGAGAGAGAGAACGGAGAGCAATAATTCTGACGGCGGCAACAAAGGAGCTTATACACTGACGCTACACGAGCGAACCAATTGGTACTTAACAGCGTTATTACCGACGACGATACCGGCGGTTGGATTTCGGAACATGATCACCGCCGGACAGTCGACGTTGAGATGGTAGCGGCCGGAGATGAACGTGCCGACTTTGAATCGGACGTAGCCGTCGAGTTTGATCGACAAGACGACGGTGCCGAAGGACTGGTCCTGGTAGAGAGTAGCGCCGTTGTACGGAGAGATCGGAACGTCGTCGCCGATGAGGAACGGAGACCAGATGTTGAGTTCGTTTTCGTCTTGGAAGGAAGGTTGAATGACGGTACGGAGAGTGATCTGTTGGTTCCGGTAGACAGCGAAGACATCGAGGCGGTCGTAGTAGATTCCGATGTTGTCGTTAGGGTTCCGGGAGGAGACGGTGACCTGAATGCTGGAGGAGAGGAAGTTTGCGGCGGAGACGTTGAAGAGAAAGACGGTGGCATCTTGGATAATGAATTTGGGCTTTGTGGGCTGAAGAATGGCCCAAATTAAGAGGATTGTAAGAAGGACGAGAAAGAAGAAAATGAGGATTCCGGCGTAGATTCGCCGGATTAACTTCGGCCGTTTCTTGTCGTGGTTAGGGCAGTCCTTTGACATTTTGTTGTCGGCGGCGGCGGTGGCCGTGGATTGGCGTTTGTGGTTGAAATTCGTCGAAGATAGAGGGAGAAGGAGGTGGTTAATTTTGAAGCCGTTCGTTAACTATATATAAATCCATGACCTTTTAAATTTAATTTTATTATATTTATATATATATATATATATAAATCCATGACCTTTTAAATTTTAATTTTATTTTAAGTTTCATATTATTAATTTTCGATTTTTTCAGACCATTATTCATAAATTTTTTTAATCGGAGAAACGTTTATTAAATAATAAATTTAATTTAATTATAAAATATTTGACTTATAATAAAAATATTTATCGTTCAATTTTAATAAATATTTTTTAAAATTATTAAGAGTCGTCGGATAAATAATGATAAAATTAATATATATATATATATATAATTGTATTGTAAGTGAAAATTTTAAAATTAACGGTCGAGTTAGTTCGGTTCAACCTAAGTAAATTTAAAAAAAAGTTCATGAACTAACTCAATTTTGAACCGATGCTGAATGAGTTAGGTTTGGTTGATCAACATTTTTTTAGTCATTAAATTTTTTTTCATAAATATTTATAAAAAATAAATATATTAGCTTCGTATTAAGTTATGATAAATTGACAGCCAAATACAACCTGATTTAAATATTTTAGAATTAATTTGGTAAAAATATAAAGTCGATGTTACGTATTTTCAGTTTAATTTCTATTAATGTTAAATAATACAAAATATCTAATAAATATATTATAGTACATATTAGAAAAAAAAAACTGAGATATGAAGATAAAATATTTAATTAAAATAAATAAATAAATTATAATGAAAATAATAAGAGAGTTGTCGTAGCTAAAAAATAAAAGTAAACGTTCATTAATAACAGAAGAAAGGTCAACAAAAGTCAGCTCCACTCAGAACAATGAATTATTGGAGTTGGTGTTTTTAATGTTTTTTTTTTTTTTCAGTTTTTATTTCTAACACCGAAATTCATCTTCTAGGTTATATCTTATTTAAAAAACGCTCCACTTTAAACAAAGTCGAAAAACACGTCTATTTCTCTATACCCTAACGAGTTTTAACTATAATGGAACAAATGGTCTCGATATATAGAGCTTGAATTCAATGATATAGGTGGACTTCGTTTTCAATACTAAAGCCTCTATTTAATGAACGGGTCCAATGAAAACCCTAATGCTTATCCAAGTCTCGTAGAAGCTTGGAAACTACGACACTTAAAAAGTACATGTACAGTGAAGCTTTCATACTCTATAAAGTGATAGCTCTAGCCCGTTACTCTCTACTATCGTATAAGTTGCTCGAGTATTAATCATTCACTAATACAAAGAGTATATTGAATTCATGGAGACGTTTAATTTTTCTTTTCCATTGGTAAATTTAGTATTTTCGTCGACCTAAAAGTGTAAGGATAAAAAGAAAATTCTTTTATATATATATATATATATATTTAATTTGAGTTTATAGTAACACAATAAGTCATACTCATAATAACGACTTCGATTTTTATGTCCGTTCGATTATTTTTTTTTATTGGTTATTATTTAATGAAAAAAAGTAAAGACAACGAAGTGTTTGGTTCATCCTTAAAAATATATATTTTTTTAATATACTTTTTAAATTAAGCTTTTAAATATTAGTTTTTATGGTTTTTATATGACGTGTTTGTAGTTGGTAAATTAATTTTTTTAAAATTAAAAATAATAATTTGCAAAAAACTTATTTAAATTTTTTTTTATAAAAGAAATACAAAATGATAAAATATGGTAGAAAATTATGAGAAAATAAAAACAGTTTAAAAAATACTTCTTAATATTTAATAAGGAAATTTAGAATCTAATTATTAATTTTGATAATTTAATGTATCATTTTAAACTTAAGACATAAAATTAAGGATAATGATATTTATAGATGGTTTATGATTATATTTTTAAAATTATAATTAGAATAACTTAGAAAAAGTTTTACATCAATGTGACAAAATAATGTGTATATATAGGAATTTTAAGTAATTTTCATTTTCACATATATTTTTATATTAACATTTAAATTTATATATATATTGTATATAATAAGATAATTGAAAATATATTTATTAATATTTTTGTGTGGTGTTTAAAGTAAGAACGTGACCTACAAAAGAAGAGTAGAAGAGACGTTTGTGCAAATTAACGACAAAATTATAAATTATATATAAAGAAAAAATGTAAAATTTTATTTTGGATCATATACTTCTAAAATATTTATACATTTGAAAAAATAATTTACATAATATCTATTTAAAGATCATATGACATTAATATATGATTGTTATAAGTCTGTCTCAAATCCATTTATTGGTTTGTTAAAAAAATAGTAAAAATCAAAATGGTTAATATTTTAAAATTATTATTAATATTCATATTTATTTTGAATAAATTTATTTATTTATATTAAAAATAATTAATTAAAATTTATTTTTGTAGTTAACACGTTGTTTTATAATAATATATTGAATTAAACTAATTAAGTATTCAATTCAACAAAGTTTCATTTATAAAATGGAAAAAAAAAATCAAATTTTACTGTTGTATCAATTTCTATATTAAACTTTTAATTTTATCAAATTGTAATATAAACTAGTTATTATAAACTTAACCTTAACCTTGGTAATTTTTATCTTTTAATCAATTTTATTTTAAAATTTTGTTTAAAAAACTATTTTCTTTGAAATTTATGAAAAAAAACTATTCATCAGCTAATTTATGGAATGAAAAATTTTAAATTTTAAAAGTTTAAAATTTTAAAAATCTTAGATTATGAGGCAGGGAGTTTATGAAAATTTACATTTTTTATTTTGTTAAAATGAGTGAAAATTGAAAAATAGCTACATTTAATAAGTATATGAGAAAAAATTAATAGATCAATTCATCTATTTGTAAAATATACTAAATTGATGTAATTGAAACTAACGGTAGATCTATTAAATCTATTTATTTAATTAAAAATCATTACAAAATATTTAAAATTTTTAATTATTTATTAAATTAAAATTATACATCGAGTTGTTGAAGAGTTTATTAATTAATGCATCTTAATTATACAAAACTAATACAATATAAAAGAAGGAAAAAAAAAACATTTATTATCATAAAAAATTGCAAAGTATATTCTCGAGATATTATTCTCAACCATAAAAAAAAAATATGGATACTTTTAAAACCCCTCAAATAAATGGATATTATTCTCAACCATAAAAAAAAAATATGCATACTTTTAAAACCCCTCAAATAAATGGATTAATAAAGCCGAGTTGTCCTTCCTTCGAAACGGCGCCGTTTGTTTCTGATAAAGGTTGAAAAAGCGAAACCTTTGGAGGGTTTAGAAATTCTCAATATTGGATAATTACAAGGAAGAAAATGGCAAAATAGAAAAAAAAAAAAATTGAGGATGAGCCGTCACAAATTTATTAAACAAAAAGAATCTCCATTTTGTTGCACACAAAACAAATAATAATTATTTATTGAATTTACAATAAATACACATTTCATTAAATTGTCTTTAGTAATTATTAAATGCGGCTGGATATCTTAATTCAATAATTATTTTCCATTATAAAATACCATCGTAAAATATACAATTAATCATACATATTCAATAATTATGGGCTTACCTCCATTTTCAACAATTCAACATTTCCAAAACGGATTATATTTTTAAATAAATAGATTTGTATGGTTGTGACCAAAGTGGTTAATTAAAGAGAATATCACGGAAAAATAAATGAAATACACATCTCTATTAACATGAACTATTTTGGAAGATAAAAGTAAAGCCAATAAAACAATGGGTATGAAATAAGACCGTCATGTCCATGGCGTCTTCAATCATTTCTAAAACCTACAAACTTATATCAAGAACATATTTTGGAATAATTTTAGAATGATCAAAATCACTTTGGAATAAATACAATCGAATAGTCACATTTTCTTTCACATTCCTCTATGCTTGAGGAGTCATAAAATTCCTTCCCTCTTGTACTACCTAAACAATTGGGGTGCATCAAAGAATCATCGGAGGGACCAACCAGAAGGAAGGCTTAATTTAATCTACGTTTGTTCTTCCAAATACAAGGAAAATTCCATATAAATGATAAAAAATACATACCTTGGTGTACGTTTAAGTGGTTAAGGTGCGCACCAAAGCCAGCCATGGCCTCCTCATGTGGTTTTAATGGCTCTTTGGCAAAATCATATTAACAATTAATAAATAAAATGAATACTACAAGGAGAAGGGAAAGAAAGCCCAAATCGTGCATAGACGCCGCCTCTTAATCCTTACTCGTAGGAACAAATAGAAAAGTTCTTCCTGCCAGAAGGACAAGTATGGAGAGGAAAGTTTTAGTGGAAATTTGGCGTTTTGTTTTTACATGAAAATATTAGCAAAAGCATTGCATACTACTATGATCTAGAATTGAAAATGACCAAGCATATTGGATAGGATCCATTGAAAGTTTACAGTTCTGCATAGCAGAGAGGGAGATGCATCATAATATCTTATTTAGTCTGATGCTACAAGTCTTTCATAACCTTCAGCCATACTATAAAACTTGGAAGTTTTTGTCCCTTTAGTACAAGAGGCCTGGAGAAAGTGCGGCCAAGCTCATGCGTTTGGATTTTTCTTCTACATTGACATAAATTATTAATTCTAATATGGGTTTGAAAAATTCTAGTCGAGGATTGTTAGGAGGAAGTCCCACGTTGGCTAATTTAGGGAATGATCATAAGTTTATAACTAAGAAATATATCTCCGGTACGAGGCATTTTGGAGAAGCCCAAAGCAAAACCATGAGAGTTTATGCTCAAAGTGGACAATATCATATACCATTGTAGAGGGTTGTATTTTCCTATATACTACTATATGCTAGAAGTTAAAGATAAGCTCGAGAAAGCAAATTGACAAATACACAATGAGACCATGAAGAAAAAATCTGGGTGCCTGCAGCAGGGAGGACTTATCATGTTGCTGGAAACTGCACTAGGAGCATGTAAATATGGAAAATATCCACAAATGGATGAAAGAATCTAATGATACAGATTGTAGAGAAGAGAAGAATAAGGGAGAACGGGGAAGTACCTGCTCTAACTTGTCCATGTACAGAGCATTTTGAGACGCTCCTAGCGCTTTTGTTCACTGAATGTCTTGCCCTCAAAGAATTCATTTAGCATACGCTCAAGATCCTCAGGTGTATATTTGATGCTTCTTTGAAGACCAGTTTTCCCATTGTCAACCATAGGCCTGTTGCATAAGCAATACATGCAATTTTATATGTTAATTTTTTTTAAAAAAATTTAAAGTTAAGTAATGAGGACGTGCCCGAAACGCTTGATGAAGGATCGGTAAGCAGGCAATAATACTTCAGCGACTGCCAACCTCAATGACTCCCGCAACTCACTGTCAGGAACTGTCCATTGAGACTGCCGTTGATGAAGCTCCTCAAATTGGATATTGAAAGTCTTAAACCTATCTTTCACCATAGCTTTTGAGAGTCCACAGGTTGCATCTGCCGAAGCACCACCACTGCCTGAGGCCTGAACGGTGAGGCACTGCAAAATCTGCTAACAGGAACAAAGACCTTAGTATGCTGACCTTCCAACTAAGCTCTTGGTTTTCTAAGAACTTAGATAGCGAATACTGAGAGAAAAGGCTAATATGTTATCCATAATCTCCACATTCCCTAGAAAAGTTTCATAATTGGCATTTAAAGGTTCCCTTCGACATTATGAAATGATATCGTACAATGAAAAATGTGAGCTGTGATCGTTATTTGACCCAAGCTAATGTAAATGAGAGAGATCATATTTATGAGCGCTCCAGACGATGTTCAAAGGAAAAGTGAAGAATATAGTGAAATATTGGCCGATTGGAGCACAATTATTTTGATTACCAAGGGAAATCAACAGACCGATACCTCAATGAATTGCTTAAAAAGGTATGATAGAATATGCCAATGAAATCCTTAAACAAGAAGGTTCTGAGGCTAATCAAACACAAAATTTTATTTTTCCTTCTTTTTTTCTCTTAGTAAAGAAGATGCACATAGTTGAATAAATAATAAGAATTACAATTCTTTTTGTCAAGAAAACCAATTCAGTTGTGCCATGAAAAATAACCGGCTTTTTCATGATGCCAACCTTGACATTATAAAGATCATACCATACACTTCACAGACGAAATGCCATTGCCAGTAAGGATAGGACTTCCTCTTAACTTTTGCTCTTAGACTGACCTATGGTCAGCATTAGAAGAGAAAAACTAGAAGTTAAAGATTGAAAGATGTATCCATTTCACATGAACACTTGTAATATAAGAAGAAAAGTTTTTAACATATTTAGGCAACGGGTCATAACAGTTATGAACTCAGGGGCAACAATTTGAGTGCTGAAATAGACTCAATAATGAGGAGATTGAGAGAGAATTCCCTTAGAAAGAGTTGAGTGAACCAAACCTTGGCCCAAGAAATCCTCTTGTATTGATTTGCATGCTGCTGCACAATCCTTCGATGTATCTGCACCCAGTCATCACCCAACAAATCCTTTGCCTCCGATCTGAAAACTCAATAGAACAAACTATTACAAATATGATAGATCCTAATCTTTTGACATACAAGCCAAATATACGACGCACCTACGGACAGATCTCACTATATAGTGAATATTGTTCATCAGAAATAATTGAGTTAATGCAGGATCCTTATATTGCTTAGATTTTCCGTCAAGATTAGTCTGAAGTGCCTGCGTAATTCTTGTAGTTATCACTGCTAACTGAGCATCTGGATCAACAGCCTCGAAATCTTGGAATAGTTGCTTCAAAGTAGATTTGTAGCTGTACATTTTATGTTGTTTATGAGAAACATAGTTTTGTAGCTATAGGGCAGGAATAGGATATAAAAACAATGCATAGACAACTTCAGGAGATCATATGAAAAATTGGGAACCAGCCATAAGGATGGATTTATAAAATATTAATAATTTTAAAAAATTGTGGTAACTGAACATAAGCAGTAACCAAAAACACTCTCCAATCCCCTGCATTTTGAGGACGTAGATTAAGAAAATACATCGTTCACGGAGAGCATAAAATAAGAGAGTGATTGAAGGAATTTCATTGTATCAAAAATCATTTCTTATGTTCGAAGGACCCAACAATAAGAAGGGTGGGAAAAAAACGGAGAAAAAGAGAGCCAGAGAAGTCTTTTTGGAGATCATCTATGAATTAAAAACAAAATATTTTTAGAGCAGAAAAAATAGGCAGTAGTTTGAGATAATAACATAAAATGTTAAGATGAATGAGTAAGAGCATGTACTTACAAACAACATCTTGGAGAAGATATAATGCAGGAGTTGTTGTATGGTATGTCAGGGGTGTGGGTCACAGTTTTTTTTGGGAAAAAACTATGACGAGAAATATTGAAGTGGAAGCCACAGAAAGTATAACTTACTCAAATAAAAACTTCACGTAGTTTATCACATAACTGGTCAAGGGATGAACAGTCCCATCAAGAACAGCAGTTTTTGTGGCATCTTTTTCTACCGCTTCTTCAAAATCAACAAAAGTCTCTTGAGCTGTCTCGGCAAGGCGTTGTGTTAAGCTCAATGCAGAATCACGCATTTCAATGCATGCTTTACTTCCAAAAAGTGTTTCAATCTGCTCTTAGCACACCGTCAAACGAAAATAAAAGGAAAAAGAGTACATAATAGTGTTAGCAAGTTGCACTTGTGGAATCATGTTTTTGGTCTTCTCACATACAGAAGCATAAAAATCTAAGTAACATCGATTTACTCTAGCAAATTCAGTATTTAATAAGTCACCGATATTCAAATTCCAATAGTTCTCACGAAGATTCTAGAGAGGGAATTGAAAGTTTATGAGGATAGTTTCTAATTTTAAATATATAATAAATATAAAGAGGATAATTTGGGCATTTTATAAGATTAGAGAAGATTTAAAGGAAATCCAAATGTTTCGCTCCTTAGACCGACTGCAGATGTAAGTATAAATATAGACATAAACCGAAACATCATAAACTTGAAAATATTAGAAGTAACGTCCCATATTTGGAAGAAAAAGTTAATTGCTTACGGTCTAGGCATTTGAAAGAGAGGTCACAAGGTGTCATCCATTTCTCCAGTTCGAATTAAACTTTGACAAAAGAAAAATACAAACGGATAAAGTTGTACCTCAGATTGCAGTTCTCGCATTATTTCAAACATGTCTAGAAGAACAAACAATTTTTCTGGAGATCTCTTGCTTTTGGCAATTGCGTCTCCAAAACTTAGTAGCATTGACACACTGTTTGATGTCACATCTGCGAAGCATTGATCCACGAGAGCGTCTGCACTATCAAATATTTGATCACAGATTTTCCTTTCCCCAGTAAACAGCAGTTTGACCTTTTTCAAGCAGTATCGAAAAGTTGGGAAAACAATTAAAATAGGACTGCAGAATAAAAATATTAAATAGCCACAACCAGATATGGCATATCCTTACAGCAATGCGCACGTAATGTATCCAGTTCCCAATCTTAGCTTCAAGGGCCTCCCACTGCATTTTCTGGACATCATCCTTGCTAAGCCTCTCAACACCTAATTTCCTAAGACTCTGTTCTAAAACTGCAGCGCGAGTCTCCCTGATCAAAAGAAGTAATTTATTCCATTGATCCATATTTTGAAGGGCTGAATAAGAAAGTAAGACGCATAAGAAGCATCAAAACGCTGTTTAAACATTTTATCATGCCTTCGTTAATAAAATAAGTTTCCCCAAGCATAACGATGAGCATATTGGAACAATAAACGGCGATAGGCTGACTCATTCACAACCAGTACTCAACATTTCATGACTTAGTCTATAGACATGTAACGTATCAGAATTTCGAGTAGGTAGTCAGCAATTTAGTATCAAGAAGACCGTATTAAATAACATATTCTATTCGAAATCTAGAAACCTACAACTTGCATATTACACAAAGGAAAAGGCAAGTCTTTCTTAGAAGAGAAAGTTACAGGAGAAACAATCCTCGTATTGCATAAACTAGTACTCAAAATGCTAATTAGTCAAACACCATCAGAAAGCTATAAAAAAGGTGATACCTGTATATTCTATAGACTTGCTGCTGATGGCCAGCCATAATCATTTGTTGGGCCAAATCATGCAACAATGGAAGAACCCTGGGAGGAATAAGAGTTGGGGGAATGAAGATGGAAGCCTCTAAGCTTTTGTTGTGATTGTCAGAATTATGTTTGCTACCACCATCACCTTGCTGCGAAGATGCTGAAGATGGACGCAAGGAGTTGGGGAGGCAATCGAAAAGACGATCGGGTTCCACTGGCTTACTACAATTTGATAAGGTCCACACTCATTGTTCTTGTATATAAATTAAGAGTACAGTGCAGTACAAAATTTTTAAGTATTATTAAGAGAATGGCTTTGCCAATTGTCAAAAGTCAGCGAGAACCTAGCTTTTATACAGGTCTAATTATGACAGGATGGCAGCAAATATGAATAACATAATTTTGTAAGCTCAATGTAACAGCCTGAAGATGGAATATAATTATAAAATGTTAAGGGTGGATTAAGGTGACCATAGCAAGGAGTCCTTTGATTCCTATTTCCTCCCTCTTCCTTTCCCCCAAGGAATAAACGAGATGCTCATTAAAACCACATTCATCATGGGTAAAAGTTTCAACAAGTAAGATCCTCTAGCTAACATGTTTTTTTTTTCTTACATTTATTTTTAACTAAGGTTTAATGTGAGAGTAATAGTTAGAGACATGCAGTGAATATTAGTATGCTAGTGGTAAGGAAATAGTGGTAATTAGGTGCCTCGGTTATAAATAAGGGGTATTAGGAACCTCAAAAGGAGCGGATGTGGACCATTTAGTGGATTGTTCAGTGTGGGACCTGGAAGAGAGACAACCCTCTCCAAAAGCTATGATTATATAGTAATTTTTTTCTTGGATATTACAATATATTTAGTATCATGTTTTTTTTTTTTCTTCTGGGTTTGGAGTCCTAGCATTTTCTCACATCAATTCATGCTCTTTTGTCCGCCGACTTCATACTACTAACCGGAGAAGAGTTCTTATTTTCACTCGTAATTTCAGTAGATAAGATTTAAATTCCCAAATGAAAAAGAGTAGCAATAAACAATATGAATTTAATCGATAGAATAAATCAATAAAGAATGAATCTTCATTCTAATAGAAATATAAAAAATGAACATCTATTTTATGAGACCACAACTCCGAGAAAAATAAAAGCATTGTTAAGAATGTTAACCAAGCATTAGTCCACAAGGCGATTATTACTTTAAGTCAGAGAAGAGGAGGCAAACATCTGTTATAACCTTTCTGTCACGAACAAACTTTTCAAGCCTCGAACTGAACAAGAATAGCTCTAAGTACAGAAAGAATAAAGTCTATTTAAATTGGTGATTACTTGAAGAAAAACAAATCAAATATTATAAAAAATTTAAAAAAATGTTACAACAGTGAACAATGTACAGTTATCCACTAAAAGCATAAAAAATAGAAAAACAAACCTGTAATTTGTTAAAAGCTGTCTGAACTCATCTTCCAGCTTTGAAATGGCTTTAGCAAGCAAGTTGCTTGTATGGGTAAGAATAGCTTCGTTACTTCGGAAAATTTTGTTCCCAGTAAAGTAGCGATTAGCGCTTCGAAGTTGACTAATTGCTTCCAAGTACATTTCCAAGTCCTCATGTGGCCCCCTGAGTATTTTAGCCTCGGCCTACATTTTTCAATTGAAACAATGTCAACGCACACAGAAAATCATGTTGTATAAACTGAAAATGGTGACAATAATAGCTTTCAAAGAAGAAAATATGGAGCCAAAGAAATAACTCCCAAAGAGAATTTTGCGTTTTGGTCCATCCGTCAATTCCTCGATAATTACTCGGTGTAAATTGACGTCAAACCTATTTTTAAATATTTTAGAAAAGAATATACTTTTTCTTAAATAAAAGTACTTTTTGACATTTTTTTTTTCTCTTTCCCTCTCTTCCCTTCCCCATTCTTCTACTTCCTCTCCTTCCTCACATCAATGGCCACCAACTACTGTAATTTTCTTTTTCATCTTCTTTCTTTTTTCTTCTTCTTCCTCTTCCTCTTCCTCTTTCTCATCCTTTCTTCCGCTCTTCTCCACATAAAGAAAAACTGTCCCAGATCTGTTCCGAAATTGAGAGAGACCCTTCGATTTCCAAGAGGGTCTTGCCGTAACTCGCGTTTACAACGCTGACAAAGGATAAAAGTTATGGAGGACCCAATGTTGTACGACATTGGTTTTGTGAGTTGATTTGGTGGCTTTCCATACGTGAGTTGACTCGGGTCACCGATGTTAAACGTGGGTCACCATCCGGATGCTCGTAGTCGCCGTAAGAAGTTGTCGTCGCGAGTCTTTACTACCGAAGGAACGACGTCGTTAGAGAAGATAGGGAAGACGAGAGAGATACAAATCTATGTAAGGTTCATATTTAAAGGAAAAATAGAGAGGAGAGGAAGGGAAAAGAGAAGGAAAAGCTGACAGAGAAATTAAAAAGAAATCAGATACGAATGTAATTTAAGGTCGAACCTTAACAATGAAAAATGTAATTTTCTCGTTATTTTTTTAATGCATCGATTCTAATAGCCTCGCTTCTCTCAAAAGGCTAGATTTTCTGTCGTCTCTTTCCTTGAGGCGATCGAGGGGCTTGTTGTTTAGAAGTGAAAACACTACTATCAACATAGCAATGCACGGCCCAAGCCAACTAATTGGCAGCTACTTTTTCCTTTCGTCCCTACGCCTTGGTGCACACAATTAGGATTTATCACCAGGCACAGCAGCTGCCAACCCACTATAGTATGATACGAAAGAAATAAAGCAATAGAAACAAAGACTGATCTTTCTCCAATTCTGTTTGGGATGAAGCCGGAGGAGAACAGTCCTACAGCACCAGACAAGGGTAAATACATGGCTCCGTGTGAACAAGAGAAGGACGCACAACTGCTTCAATTACATCTTTTGCGTCCCACCATGTTAACAATAAAGATCTAAAGAAGTTCCTACTATTTTCGTCCAACGTGTGCCTCTAGCATGATGGCATCTTCTTATCTCCAGGTGATTATATTAGTGATATGATTTGGGCTTCCAAAGTGTAGACTTAGTGAAATTGAATCAAAGAGGGATAGGGTGAAGAGAACTGTCCAGATGATGCAAATGGAAACTTTTAAGATTTCATCACCGTTCAGTCTCCTACCCAAACAATCTGAGACGTGAAGTCACCCTGAAATGCTACTGCTATGATTCCAATTTCATATAAATTTCCAAAACGCAAGAATCCACCAAGTAAAACAAAAATAATTTCAACACAAAACCTAAGTCAAATCAAATCCAATCAGTAGCGAGGCATGAATTACGAACGTGGATTGGGGATGATGCATCTTATTTCAACTTACTACACTTGCTGCAGGACGCATATAATATAAACAACAAGCAGCAAATTAAAAGCCGTGCCTCTTCTTTCCACAAAATGATTAATAAGCAAGCAAGAAAGAGAAGGTAAGAGATATCAACCTTGCGTGTAAGATCAAACTGAGCTAGCATACTTTCTGCATACTTCAATGTCTTGTCGATATTCTCATGCGCCCTCCGAATTGAATGAGTTCTGATCTATCGCGTCAAAAACAAGATCACAAAAGTATAAATAATTAAAAGAAAATGAAAACACAAGCGCAGATAACAATAACAGCAATTGTCATGTTTCCTTAAAATCAATCAAACGTACATCGCATCATCGAGCAGATCTCATAAGTAACAACAAATAGACAGCAGGATCATAAAAACGACACAAATTCACACACATTACGCATCATATGAAGAAATTCGCTCATTAAATGTATCTGATCAATGCATTTCAAAATTCTTCAAGCTAAGCAACAGAACAAGAAAAAGCACCTGAGTAGGTCGCATAGCTGTTTCGAGAGCGGAGAGACGGTGATCGAAGGAGCCAAGAATGGAGACCATGCTCTCCGTTACAACCTGACTCTTCTGCAGCGACTCTCGGACAAGTGCGGCTCTCTCGCTCAGAACTTTCATCGCCTTTTGAGCCCCCATTGGAGATGGAATCTGCTCGGGATTTCTCCCCCAATGCGTCCGGTAGGGGAGAAAAGAAGAAAATTCAGATGCGTAATCAGAAATTCAACCAGCCTCGGTGGCCTTTTTCGCCGTTTTCAGGTCTCCCGTGGAAATGCAGGGACGAACAAGGAAAGTAGTTACGAAAAGCCATTGGTTGTCTGAATTTGGGCCCCCATTTGAAACAAGACTGCGAAAATTTGCCGGGAGAAAATCTTCCGTACCTTAGAAAAATTAACTAAAATAAACCAGATATATTAATTTACAAGTTTAATCCTCCAATTTTTAGATTATATCAAATTTACCCTTCAATTTTATGCTTAACAAATTTCTTTCATGTTTTTATTTCGAATTCGACCCTTAAAGTATTCCAATTTGTACTTTTAGCCATTTGTTTTTCTAATCTTTTCAAACTAACCCACAATACTATGGCCATACAAATTACAATAGAAAATATCTAAATGAAATTATTTAATTTAATTTACATTAAGTTATATATTTTTAATTGCTTCCAAACCTCGTTAAATGATGGTAAATTAATTAATTAATTAATTATATATATATATAATAATGGATGAAAATAATATATATATTTTTTTTCTTTTGCTCCTATATTTTCTCCGACTTAAGCTCTTTAAATTTAAGGGTCGATTAAAAAATATATTAATATATACGAAAATTAAACTTAAAAATAATAAAACTTTTTATTTTTCATTAGAAACCATTGAGTTTCAATTAATTTGGAATTAACCAAATTTAAAACACAAAAAAATAGATACAAAAAAGTAAAAAATAAAAAAAAGTTTAAAATTCAAGTAAAAAAAACCAAAATTTTAAAGTGGAAAAACCGGACCAAACCGGTCCCTTCCAAATTTCGATTAATTTACAAAGTGGGCCGAGATAACAAGAGTTTGGGCTTAAGATGGGCCGGGTTATGGGCCGAAGCCCAACTTTCCCAATTAAACCTAAAATTACGATAGACGATTTCCTCTTTCCTCCGACGCAGGAACGTGTCCCGGTTGGGTTTACATTTTGAGAGAGAGCTTTCGTCTTCGTTTACTCTAGGGTTTATCTTCTGCAAACAATCCGGCGGCGATTGTAACTTTTCGCCATGGTCTGCTGCTTTTCAGCTCATTAACTTAATGTCTATATGGTTCCATATTTTTGTCGTTTAATCTTGTTGGTTTTTCGTTTGTGGTTTAACAGCCGCAGGGAGATTACATTGAGCTTCATAGGAAGCGACATGGCTACCGCCATGACCACTTTGAGCGGAAGCGCAAGAAGGAGGCTCGTGAAGTTCACAAACGATCTGCCATGGCTCAGAAGGTTGGGTTCATTTTTAGTGTTCGATTTGGTTGATTTTGCAGTTCCCTTTCTGATCGAATTTGAATCTTGCAGGCTCTGGGTATTAAGGGTAAGATGTTCGCGAAGAAACGATATGCGGAGAAGGCTTTGATGAAGAAAACGTGAGTATCTTTTGTGCATTCTTGTGAAATTATGTTACGGCGTTGATGCCTTTGGTTGAAACTTGTTCTCTCTTTTGTATTTTAATGGACTTTTTAGGGTTGAATGTTTATCCTTGTGTCAATGCTTTATAGTGTATTTGGGATTTGCTATAATAGGCTGGAGTTGTAGGTTCAGTAATTGTTCAATATCTTATGGAGCATTTGGTATTTGCTATGGTAGATTAGACCTGCAATAGTTTAGATAAATGAAGTGGCACACAGTTGATTAGAGCTGCAATAATTACATTAATGCTTATTCAGTGAAATGAATTGAGGGTTAGATTGACAAATGCCGTATGTTTGTTTCAACAGATTGGCTATGCATGAGGAGTCTTCAAGTAGACGCAAGGTCGATGATGATGTTCAAGAAGGTGCTGTTCCTGCCTATCTTTTGGATCGTGAAAATACAGCTCGAGCGAAAGTATGCAATATTCGAACTCTTTTTTGAACTTCAGGCATGTAGTTTTTTGCATTCATTTGTTTTGATCTGACCGTCTGCTGTAAAATAGGTTCTTAGCAACACAATTAAGCAAAAGAGGAAAGAAAAAGCTGGTAAGTGGGAAGTCCCCCTGCCCAAGGTAAGGGTTGTTTATGGCTTTGTTTGATGTGTCTTTAGTTTTAGAAAATACCATGCCCATCTAGTTGTTTCCATCATTTGGGGCTGATGATGCATTATTTGTCCTGGATTTTTATTTAGGTCAGGCCTGTAGCTGAGGATGAGATGTTTAAAGTGATAAGAACTGGTAAAAGGAAAGGTAAGTACTCATATCAGCTTCTATCAGTATTTATTTTCTCGAAATTTATGCCTTTACGATCTATGAACTATCAAATCGAACTAATTAATCCATGTCATGTTTACAGCAAAACAATGGAAGAGGATGGTCACAAAAGCTACATTTGTGGGGGCAAGTTTTACACGAAAACCTCCGAAGTACGAGCGATTCATCCGACCATCAGGGCTTCGATTTACAAAAGCACATGTAACACATCCCGAACTTAAATGCACATTCAATCTTGAGATCATTGGAGTGAAGAAAAATCCAAACGGTCCCATGTATACATCTCTTGGTGTCATGACCAAGGGAGCCATTATTGAGGTATCGTGCTTATAACGCTCAACCTCTTCACCGTGCACTTCTGTCTTTGATTAGTCGCTCACTTATGTCTTCCCTTTAATTGTTAATTAGGTGAATGTCAGTGAACTGGGTTTGGTCACACCAGCTGGGAAAGTAGTATGGGGTAATGATTTTCTTCCTTGTTTCGTTCGTAGTTTTGAACAGTTCCCATTGGGATTCTTCCCAAATTTTCATCTGGGACGAAGCCTTATTTTGCTTGTTGTCTCTTCAGGGAAGTATGCTCAGGTGACCAATAATCCTGAGAATGATGGCTGTATAAATGCTGTTCTGCTTGTTTAAACGAACCGATCAGATCAAATGAGATGGGAAGAGATTAAATTAAGAGCGGAAATGGCACTCTTTTTGAAACGGTAGTAAGACCTTTTTGTTTTTGTTTGTGTTTGTGTTTGTGTTCTTGGAGGGTCTTATTTAATTATCTTCATTGACATGTAATCTTAGAAGTGTATTTCTTACTGATTTTCTCCAGGAATCGAACAGGCAAATATATCCATGGAACTTTTATTATATTGTTTAGTAACTCTTTATTTTTTAATTAAAGACAATTACAATTCTCTCCTCGGGTGTTTCAATTTTTTAATTTCGTAAGTGATTTTACCAATATTATTGTTGTTACTTTTTTAAGAAAATTTTAAATTTGGTATTGTTTGTTCATTACATGTAAAAAATGCTAATATAGTAAGAGCAATAAATGACTTGTTTAATTATGATTTTAATTTTCTTTGATAACTATTCGAGTTTTGAAGAAAATTTTAATATTCATTCATTAAATAAAATTTTAAAAATACAAGTCAACTTTTTAAATGGTTTTCCAAAATATTTATTTTGAATTTTGGTAAGAATAATGGGAAAAAAAAAAAAAAACTAAAGAATTATCTCATGGTATTCATTTTTAGATTTAAAAAATGTTCCTCGATAGATAAAATAATTAATAATATACATATATATATATATATACATATGCTTAGGGGCTTAATTTCACATCTTTTCAAGAATAGTAATCCCATTATTATAATAATTGATTTAATTTTCAAATTTTTTAATTTCGTAAGTGTTTTTTTGTAAGTAATGTAATAATTGTTATTATTGACACATAAAATTTTATAATAAAATCAATTCTTTCCGAGCAGGATTAGAGACAATATTGAATCGAGAGCCACGCTTTATTGGAGTTTAGGCGTGGGACGTGTGTTCAACCTAAGCTTAGCTCGGGGTAAGATGGACTTTTGTGCCTTTTGACCAAGTAATTTCTTTATTTATACCCAATTTTACTTGGTCAGAATATCAGTTTGGTCCCTAAATAGTATTTTATTACTAATTAATTTATAATTTAGCAAATATTAAAAACAAAACTTATTTGGAAAGATATTAATGAGAGGTTTTGTGTGAACCGATGAAATAAGAAACAATAATTTAATTAAAAATAATAATTAATAAAAATTAATTATTAATTAATAAAGGTCCCACCTGACCGCCTCATTCTCCGTGTCTCTCGTATCCTTTCAGGTGGGCTCATCAAGAAATCTGAACAGTCAATTCCCAATTCCATGTAATACTCTGGTTTTTGCATGGTTCTTTCAACTCCCCGGAATGCCTTGTTCGAAGCTTGATTGGCTTGAATCGGAGTCCGCGATGGTCGGTCACGCTAATTCTTCCGATGCGTTCTCTTTCATTTCCAAAGGATGGAGGGAGGTTCGTGATTCAGCGGATGCGGATCTTCGCTTGATTAAGGCCAGAGCCAACTCCTTCAAGAATTTGGCGACCTCGTTCGACCGTGAAATCGAGAATTTCTTTAACTCGGCTACTACTTTCTATGTTCCTGCAATTGGTTCGGGATCCTCTCCTCCTGCTGAGATTGAGTTTGTGAAGAATTTGCAGCTGAAGATATCGGAGGATCGCAGGTTCTATGCCTCACCGAGCTTTAGCAAAAAAATGCTGGAGAAATTGAAGCCGAGGACGAGAATCCGGATTAATTTGCCTTCTATTAAGAACGCAATTGTGTCGGAGGTTGAAGATGGGAATGGATTGAGGAAATGGAATAGAGTGAGGTTTGGGGAGTTTTGGGGAGAGAATGAGAGCGAGGAGGGGAAGGATGTTAGGGCTTGGGAGCCAATCCAAGCATTGAAGACGAGATTGAGGGAGTTTGAGATGTTTGAGGTCTTCAAGAACAGCGATTTCGTGAAGAAAGTGAAGTCGAGCTTGGTGAGTTATTGTTCTTTAATCTTATTTAGCATGTTCCTGCTCAATAAATCATTGGCATGATTTGTTTTTTGTTCTTGCAGAGTTCTTCCAAGACTTCACAATATTCGAATTTACTGTACTATTATTCATTGCAATTGTGTGGAATCATTGATTAAAAAGATTATTAGAATAATTTCATCATTGTAAACTAGCTCTACCCTTCAGTTGTTTGTTTCCGTTTTGATGATGATCAAAAAAGAAATCAGGCATTTCTGTTCCCTAATGATTTATTTGAATCTCCTTTTTGCAGAGATC